GTGTGGTGAAACGTTTTTTACGGTGGTGGAGGTGGAGCAGATGAAGTGGGGATAGAAGGAGAAATGATGTTTTCTTCTAAGATGCCTCAGAGAAAAAGCAAGAAAGGGCCATTTCGCAGTCCCCTCCTCCTCTTCCCACACTGGCCGTGGCAGTCCTCAGTTCAAACGCTCCTGTTCCCTCCTGGGCCCACGAAGACCTAGTGGGTCCCCTCCCTCCTGCCAGTCCAGCTGGTATCTGAGCTCACAGGAGGCTGGGCGGGGGGGCTCCACTTTGAGGAAGAAAAGCAGGAGTTTTGCCTAGTGCTGCAACCATGTAAGTCACAAATATGGAAGCAAGAAGAAAGGGAGGGAGGGAAGCCAGTCTTTTTAAAGTCTTTCTTCTAAAGAGGTATTTTGTCCCAGGGATGGGGAAGTCACCGAGACAATTATAAAATAAAGTTAACAGGAACTAAGGGAAAATGAGCAATCACAGTAGGCAAGCTCCATGCACCGTGCTTTTTTCCCTGCTCTCCCACTGCAGGCTCACTGGGGTGGCAATGCGGCCTGTGCTGGGCACACCGAGCAGGGGCGCCACAGTGCAGGGCGCCCAAGGGAATCTCCTCAGCACCTCTCATTTTTTCTGTGGGCCTAAAACTGCTGCAAAAAAGTGTGTAAAAATAAGTAACCACAAACACATACACCAAAAAACTAGTGAGTAAAAGAGCCAAAGAGCAAAACACTTCACAGAACTGCGTACGGCAGAGGAAAGTGGCTTCTCAGGAGAGAATGGAAGCCCTGTTTGCTGGAGACCCAGGGACCCCAAGGGCAAAGCTCTACCTCCAGGTGACCCCCCCCACAGCACCACCGAGGCCAGCAAACCAGACTCATACTACCAGTGGAAGGGAAGTCACGGAGAGCAGCCACGAGGGACACTGCGACCTGCATCACTGTAGGACAACTGCCCCACTCCTGAGTCAGGAACACGAAAAGCCAAAGCAGGGACATTCGCCAGAAATCCCAAGTAGCCCCAGAACTAACAGAAGTGGGGTGCTGGGCAAGACCCAGTGTGCTATTCACAGAACCCACTGAAAAATAAAAAGAGCCTTGTGTTTAAAAATTTTTCTGAATTTCAGGTGAGCAGCAGCGAGGAGAAAATCAAGCCCTGGGAACCTTCAAGTTCAGACCCTGGGAGGCGTAAAGAGCCGAGCTGGCCCTCGGTGCTTTTCTGGGAGCCTGACTCTCTCCTATACAGATGCTGGCCAGGTGATCAGAGTTCTTTCACTGCCATGGTAATCTATACATCACTTAGTGGTTCGTATCTTCAGGGAGCACGTTTGAAAAAGAGGAGAGGTTAAAAAAAAAAAAGCAGGACAGAATCCTTTCCTCCCTTCCTGTGACTGTTAGTGCTGTAGGAGAACATCAGGAATAAATCACCGCAATGAATCTTATCTCTCCTTTCTCCAGTGCACAGCCGAATGGACACAGTTTCCAGCCTCTGTACCTGGGCTGTTAAACAACTCTGCTAAAGGGTTTGTAAAGTCAGGAACCACAGGCAGGAGTCATGTGATCCCCACATACTGGGTGGAGCTGTGGCCAGGTATGTGCAGATCCTATGAGGACAAGGAGCCCTGCATCCCAGGATCTACAAGAACTCTGGCTCTGCTCCTCCGGAACACAGCACGTCCATCTGCCATCTGGAAGACATTTTCCTTTGCACCTCTGCCCGCTGTAGAAAGCCTGCTGTTGGTGCTCATACTGGGAAAACCCAAGTCAAGATAAATGACAGGAGCCACTCCACTTAGACCCGTGAGCATCAAGGAAGCAGAGCCAAGTGATGTAGAACTCCTGCTTCAAAGGCAAGGGATAACGTTCCCGGCTCAGCCCAGAACGCAGGAGGCTGCGCGCAAGCCGTGGGAGGGCAGGGAGCTGCTCATGGCAGCAGCACCAGGGCCAAGAGGAGAATCGGGGGCTCGTACCCTCCGTGCCGGGGAGCAGCCTGAGACCTGATCCCTGTAACCCATAGCCCAACCGTGATGATCCCTGGCTGAAGCTGCCAGGCTAAGACCCCCTCCCCGTGTGGGGCCCCTCTCCCAGCAGCCTCCCCTGCAAGGTTGATGACTGGAGCACCCCAGGGCCGGACAGGCCTCCAGCTGTGCCTCGGGGTGGGCGCCCGGCCAGCAAGTCGGCTTCCCTCAGCACTTGCGCCCCAGAGGAGAGGCCTGTTGTGAAGGCTGTTGGGAAGGTTCCACTCCCACTCTTGAGGGACCTCCTTCAGTCAGACATGAGACGCCCGCTCGCACCCTGCTGCATCCTGCAGCGGAGTCAGCCAGAGCATGCGGAAGTGAGGCTGGCAGCTTTGTGCCGAGGGGCAGTGGGTTCAGAGGACCCAGGGCTGCCCAGGGGACTGGAAGGACACTTGCTGTCACTGTCAGGAAAACCGACCTGGGCCTTCTGCCTACTCAGTCAGGAGTAAAAGATTGTTAGTACCCGGGACAAGAGAAAAGTTCCTTATATTTCAGTGGAAACTAAGACAGCATCTTGAATGAAAATCTACCTTCCCAGCTCCATTGCTAAAATAATCTAGAAGAATTAATCTACAGCATAGTTCACTTTTGTGTTTTGTTTTTGGAAATTGTGCTTCACAGACTAAAAAATAATGGATGTACATTTCCTTTGACAGCAAAAGTAAAATAACCAAGACTTATTGTCGATCCCCACTGAAAGCCTTGAGGTGGATCAGGGCAATAGATCCTCACCTCACGCAGAACACAGGTGACGCTGCCAAAGATCGCATCTGATGAGGGCGGCAGACATCCCTGCACCAGGCTCAGCTTTGTGGACCTCCTGAGAAAACTCCGGGTGGGAGAGGTGGGGTGCGCTGGGGATGCGTTGTTCCCAGGTTGCCACAAAGCCCCACCTGACCCGCTCGAGCTTCCAAGAACCCAAGGGGCAGGGACGTGTGACTTGGGGAATGACAGTAAATCTGTGGTATCATCTCTGGAAGCTCCTCCTGCAGAGAACATGCAAATGTGCTAAAGTACAGGTGCGCAGATGGAAGACGCATGCAAGACAGGGGTCACTAGGTATTTCCCAGGTGAATTTGGGGCTGCCACTGTTCAGGGTTTCTAGGGGTTTTCTGGACAGACAGGTTGGTCCAACTTCAGCCTACACTGATGTTGCTGTCAGGCCCACTGTTCTGCTTGTGACAGAATTAACTGATTTACTGCCTTGGAATGAGTTAAGTAGAAAGCACCACACACAGGAGAGCTCAGAAGTGGTTCTGGATCTCTCTGTGCCAGAAAGGCAGAGAAGACCAACGGGACAAACTAGCACCACTATGATGCACGAAATGCACCAACATGCACATGCACACACACACACACACACACAGGCACACACACAGTGACACGTTGTGTAAGGGTGGCCTCATGGTCATCATGGGACTTTGTCCAAGATGATGGTCTCACAGGGTCATAATGGAGCTAAGGTTTATTGTCACCTGGGACACAGGTGAGATCCCACTCTGCAGGGGTTGCAACAAATGACAAAGATGCTGTGGAATCTAAACTCTATCAGACAGTCCCAGCCTCAGTCAGGGGAGGTATCTAGCCAGCCCTGGCCCCACTGGGTTCCTGTTGGAGAAGACCAAGGCCACCCAGAGGAGTTCCTGCTTGTGTTGATGCTGGGGCCCATTCCCCCCAGGGAGAAGCCTGGCTCCCACAAGCTAGTGAGCAGCCTGGCGGGTTTCCCAAGGACCCCTCTCACTCCTTGAAATGCCCTCCTCCCCTGCCTCTCCTGAACTGCACCCACATCGCCCCACTCCTTTATTCTCCTGAACACCCAGTTTCATGCACAGGGAAAAGCTGAGCTCCCTTCACGCTGGCTCTTCCTACTGTGGTCCTTATGGCTGACTAAAATCTGGCCTGGACGTGTCAGCTAGGTCCAGCTTTGTTTTTCTCTGACGTCTATTTCCTTCGATAAGAAATCCCTTTGACAAAGAGGGGTGGCCTGTTGTGTCCTGCCTTGGCCATCCAGAGAGATCAGCTCCTCCTCAGCCTGGAGTACACCCTCAGTAGACACTTCAGGCACAGACCCAGTACACACTAAGCTGTATTCTTGCATCCAGCCCAGCCTGGCCACAGTCAGGCTAGGGAAGCAGGCAGCAGCTCTCTGGGGCCGAGATAGCGATGTTGGGGAACGTGGTAACCAGGTGCTGGAGAAGAGCCCCGGAGGCTCCCAGACCTTAGTCCATGGGTCTCAAGAGCTAAAATTCTCAGGTAAATTCTGAGTGTTTCTCTCCATAGTGGTGAGACGTGGAGGTCACAGACCCACAGCTGTGGCTGAGCAGGGCTGGAGCCTGATTCGGTGGCTGTGTTCTGCAGGCAGCTGTGCAATAGGACCCGATGCTCCCAGGGAGCCCGTCCCCCACTGTGACCAGGTGACTCCTGGCCCCTCGAGTGCTGGTTGGTGTCTCTGTCTGCACCCTGAGCCCGGGGGGGTCATGTGAGCTCTGGAAAGGATGGAGACAGCACTCACCTCTCATCTTCCTGTATTCAATGGCCTTGGAGAGGGCATTGTGCTGTGTGACTCTGAGGCACATTTCAGCATGCCAGGCCGCACCCGCCAGCCCCGGGTCTTTACAACCAACCCGAATCTGATGCCCCCGTGTGCAGTTTGGCCCCACGGTCGTTCTAGGGGACATTCGAGTTGTGTCCTGGGCATGGTCTGTCAGTGCTTTCCACCACCCTGGGAGACAGGTCCCCCTGTACCGACAAGGACCGCGAGGCGCCGACAGACCCAGCCCTCACGCGGGCGGTGCTGCTGGAAGAACCGTCCCCTCACGGACCCCGAGCATGAGTGTTTATACCCTGCACTCAGGCACAGTTTGCTTTGTTCGCCTCTGAGTTGCTGGGGTCTGATAATGGGAGCCGGTGCTTGTTCTCCAGCAGCCTCAGGGCTGCCTGCGCACTGGATGTGTCTGCACACTGTACTTTTGTTACGGTGCTCTCAACACCGCTTACCTGGGAGGACAGGCGGACACTCCGCAGGACACCAGTGCTGTGGCAGGGCGGGTCTTGGGGTTACAGAAGGACGTGTTCACCTGCAAGCTCATGTCTCTGTAGCAGCCTCCCTTTGTGATCAGATGCCCTGTGCAAGGAGAGAGGCACGACACACTCACAACCGAGTCCTGTGTCGAAAGGCAGACAAAGGCGGCAAACTCCTGCGAAAGATCTTGACCACACTCGCATATCTCCTTCATGTCCAATTGGCCAACTCTTTTCTTACTTCTTTGAGACAGGGTCTCCTATGTGCTTGAGGCTGGCCTTGAAGTCACTGTGTAGCCCATACCCAAACTGAACTCACAGCAATCCTCTTTCCTCAAACTGCTGAGTTCTGGAGTCACAGGCACCTGCCACCACTCCCCACCTAGCCAGTCACTGGGATTCTCCTTTTCTGACCTGTCTCCCTGTTTCTAACTGGTGAATTCCATCAACTCTCGGAATCACACATTTCTGCCTACCTTTTAACAGCATTTAAAGAGCGCTACTGTAAACTTGAGGAAGGGAACCAACACACCAGTTCTTTCAATCCTTGGGAACACTAGGCATTATCAAATGTCGCTCCAATGTTACATATCCCTGTGTCATACGCCATTGAGAGTTGGAGGAAACAAGGAGCAATAAAGCAGCAAGAAGCAAAAAACAATAAAATGACCACAAATGTATTGCCTGGGAATTCATAGTTTTAAATATTGTCAAAGCTATAATCGAATGTTCAATGTAGGAGTTGTATCAGATGAACTCAGTGGAAATGAAGGCAGCTCAATTCTCAGGCTCTCAGTACAACTGGGCTGCTACTGAAAGCTTCATGAGTGTCCCTTAATTTCTTTGATACATCAATCAATTAAATTTATCACAGAGAACTATTGTGTGGGGCACCAGGAATCATCAGCTCCACAGAGACAGAAGGCAGATAGCTGTTTGCCAAGGGCTGGGGAAAGGGAATGGAAAGTTATTGCTTAAAGAGTATGGAGAGTCTGAGAAGATGAAAGAGTTCTGGAGACTGGTGAAGGTGACGGTTGTGTAACGATGTAAACATATTTAATGACACTGAGCTGCACACTTGGGAGTGGTAAAGTGTAAACTTCACATTGCATATACTTTGCCATGATATAAAAAAGGATAATAACCCAGATATACCTTGTGAAGGAAGAGAGAGTTCTTTCAATAGTGAGGAAAGAAAAACGGAGGAAAAGAACCAAGCCAGTGCTCCTTTGTAAAGGGCAAAATCACACTCATTAAGATAGAGAATTTTGTCACCATGTTTGGAAAGACAGACACAGGAGGCCTGCAGCTTACAGGGAAAAATGCCCACAGTCTGGCCAGGTTGGGCTCCAGCGACCCTGACATTGTGCCCACCAGCTCCAGTCCCTCCCAGACAGGCCCCAGAGCTTGTCTGTGAGGGCATGAATGGAGAGATGGCTTCAGAGGAGCAAATCAGCTCAATGATTCCAAGGCAAGACCCTTGAAGAGAAAACGAAGTCTAAAATTCACTCTGACATCAAGTTTGGCACCTGGGGATGCTTTGTTGAAAAGGAACAGGGTATTCAAGGGCAATGTCACCCATTTAGAGAACCAGTTTTCATTATGGACTATAAACATGGACAGTACTAATGAAAATAAAAATTTATAAAAACAGTAACCAGCTTTGTCCAGGAGCCACACGAAAATAGCTCTCCTGAGTCTGATCCCAAAGCACCAGCCTGGCTCTTCTGAAGGAGGGAGGGTGCTTCCCTCCCAGTTCTTTGCTGACTCGATGTGACAGAAAATTGCACTAAGGTTTTCCGGTTACTGCTGCTGTAACTTGAATTTTCCAATTATCTCTTCCTGGTTTTAGTTGTCTCAGATCTGGAATGGTTTATTTAAAAACATGACTAAGATAAAGATCACCAAACGCTCGGTAGAAGTGTAAGAAAAGCTATTTAAACACAGCGAGTCTGTTGCAAAAAGAGCCTTTCCAAGAAAGCACAGGAACCAAATCACAGAGAACGCCTCCGAGACTAGCAGTGGCGTATGCCCTGCAGCCACAAGGCAGTAGGAAGACAGTACAAGCGAACCTAAGCACCCTGGTTAGTTGTGGCCCCAACATCTGCTCTAACAGGCAGATTTAGAGTCAAGGACAGGTGCGGTGGCGGCCCTGGGGTGCACGTGTCTATGAGCTCGGCACTGGGGTGTCTGCAGACCTGGCAGGGGATGGTCTGGGAGGCAGAGCAGAAGTCGCAGCCGAAGAGCCCGGGAGGTCCCAGGGTCCCCGTCAGGTCAGCCTGGGCTGGAAGGGTTAGACCCCGTGCAGGGCAGAAGATACAGCAACCCAGGCCCAGAGAGAGGAAGTGACATCCAGAGATCTGTCCCTCTCGGTGACCCGAGGCAGAAATATCTGCCGAGGGACCTTCTGTGTGGCACTGCAGGGACACAGGCTGGAGCGCAATGCATACCCACGTCCTTCACAAAGATCTGTCCTCTTGGAGGGGAAACGCAGCGTTCCTTTCTAGACTGGCCTACATTTTCTTAGACTTATTTTTTTTTTAAATTTTAGAACAAGGTCTCACTAAATTCTGAGCTGCCTAAGCTGGGCTTGAACTTGAGAACCTCCTGCCTCAGCCTGCCACAGTGCTGGGATTATAGGCACACACACACCGCACCACTCAAGTTGAAAATCCTTTTTAAAAGGAAATTTCCCCTTTAACGCACATGTGCACATACACACACACACATACAGCTCACACATGCACACACTCCTGACACTCCCAGATTAAAAGTCTGCTTTTCCTGGTTGAACCTCTGGGCCTCTGAACCCTGCTCTTCCCCTCATGTGTGACACGGGGCCCCGCCCCGAGCCCTTTTCTCTGTCCTCTGCACCAGGCCTGCCCATCTGCGGTCATCCCTGGCCACGCCCCTGGGCCCACCTGGCCATCTTCTCGGCCTCAACTTGACCCCTGCACTTGCTTCTCTGTGTTTCTTGGCTCAGGGGTCCTCAGACCCGCGCGTGCGTCAGACCCGCGCACGCAAAGCCCCACTCCACCGAGTGTCAGACACAGTAGGTGCCATGGACTTGGGTTTTTCTTCCTAACAAATGTGCAGGTGCTGCCCTAGCTCAGGGGCCACACCTGCAAAATTAGCAGCCACTGGTTTTCTGTCTCCATTTACCCAGGTGTGAAATAGTACACACACCTGCTAAGGCCTGAGAGTCGGGGGAATCTTTCCCAGGAAAGCAGCTTACACCAGACAGCCTGAGGCCCAACCTCAGTCCTCCCACAGAGTTGTACCCAGGGCCCACCCACGCCAGTCCTGCCGCAGGTCGAACCTCTGCAGACTCCTGCACAGGCTGGAAGAGACCCCCCACGACCCAGGGCGGAGGCCAGTCCCAACCCATGCCCTGCAGGATCCGGAGCCTCAGGGGTCTGGTAGGAAAAGGGGGCGTGATCTGGGTGGGGACCCCACACGTATGACTGGTGGCCGCAGCCGGGGCAGCGTGTGGGGCAGAGCCTTATACCTGGGTGTCTGAGTTCCAACCGGACAAAACTGTAGGGAGTCTGGCTGGTGACTGGAGAGGTGAAGAACCGGTTAGCAGGGTGGGAAACCCCGGGTGTCGGAAGCGATGCAAGTGAAAACATTGCCATCACAGGCGCTCAGGTTGTCCTGGCAAAATGACGAGGGATATCTTCCCCTCTGGAGGTGTCTCCATAGGGCGAAGTGCCACCATCCACAGCCACGTGAGTCCGGGTAATGCATGAGTGGCATCCAGGGAGCACATTTCTGGAGGGCGGGAGCTGCATTACTCACTTCTGCAACTTCGGTAGCTCGAATGATGAATTTGCTGTCTTGGTTTTAAGTTCTTTGCGAGGCACTGGCCAGTTTTCTGTAACTTCCGAGTTCACACAAATCAACAAGGAGTTAACTAACGCTTAGCCGGAAGCGCATCAGGGTAGGGCCGTGATCTTTTATACCTGACTAAGGATGAACTGGGCCCCTCTCTGTGGTACAGCCACGCACCAACACTGCCATGCTACTGTTTAAGTGTGCACACGAACTCACTTTTCTCCTTGCTAACTAGGACCCAGAGACTATTGGCAAAAGAAATCACGGTCTTTTTCTAACTGTTCTGCAGAGAACCCTATGGGTTCCCTTAAATTAACAAACATAAAGCTCAACTGAAGTGAGGGGCACAGAGGGAGGCTGTATGGTTTCCTGCAGCGGCTGAGGTCTCCCTAATGGATGCACGAGAAAAACGTATGTTTTCCTCTACTTAGATTTCAAATTCAAAGTCCATTCTTTAAAATTGCTGATTACAACAGTGTGTTAGTTCTGCAAACTAGGGCTTCCGTTAGGTTTTCTATTTCAAAACTGAAAGCATATGAAATTCAAATCTCCTGTTCCAGTCTTAACAGACAGCCGTCCCTTGGTGATTCCTGACGCCTCTGTGCAAAGCGGAAACTTGCTCTGCCTTGAAATAGAAGAACAGGTTAACTTTATCTATGGACTTTTTTTTCTCTTTTTGGAGATTTTTGTTGGCTCCCCCTTTGGGCTGCCCTGGTGTCAGCCAAATTATATCCAACACTTTTACTTGTCGATCAGGTAAGGAGGAAATCCAGATTTAGTAATTTATGTGATAAGAGGCAGTATGTACACACACACACATATGCACACACACATACACGGACACACACACAGGCATCTGCACAGATCCACCAAAGAAACACACTAGATTTGCCCAACAAGTGTGCCAGTTCTGACTGCAGGTTACTTTTCAGCTGCGACTCTCAAGACTTCCACCTCTTTACAGGGCACTCCTGGTGGGTCAGGCCACACTTCTCCGTGCTGTGAAATATCTGTTCACACTGCAAGACCAGCCCTTCTGGATCCCACCGCTCAGGCCTGCAGCACCCAGCACAGTGGGAGGCCTTTTCTGGGTTCCTGGGTTCCTCGCTGGGACAGCGCAATGTATAGTTGGGACACGAGGACACCGCGAGCAGCGCAAGCAGACAAGGAAAAACATCCAAGGTTAGGAAAGACAGGTGGGCCGCGAGGGTCCCCTGACAGGTTGAGCGCTTAATGGAAGTACAGCAAGAGATGAGGGTGGCCAGTGTGTTCAAAACCAAATTTTCTAAAAAAGAAAGGTAAAGATTCGGTAAGACAAGAGTCTGAGGGTCAAAGCTGAAGCAAAATTTGGAAAACAACTCCTGGTTTTGAATACCAGGGTAGATACATGAGCATGGGCATAGCTGACACAAACATCTAATTAGGATATTATTTGAAAAAGAGAATAGCTCCACAAAGCAGAAAGAGGCAGTGGATAAAAACTCAATGCATTAGTAACATAAGTGAACATGCGAGCCAGGGAAGAAAATTCAACTCTGGGCACTCACATCTGTCATGCTGTGCCCTGTGTCACAGGACAGAAAGGGGCCCTAGAGATGGGGGGAGGAGAGAGGGGAGGGAGAACAAAGGATTACAATGAGTTATGCACCTGAATCAACTCCCCATGATCAAAGTATGCATTATGTCTCTCAAACATTTACCACTTTAAAAAAAGACAAATTTTTAGAGAAGATGCAGCCCTGGTTCACAAATTGTAAATAAAAGCCTATTAGATGATTTAAATTTGTTGCTATTTTGTTTTTTGACACAATCAAAACACTGAAGTTTTTGAAGATGAAAAAATGTAAACGAGGAAGTTGGCGCTGCATTTTCTAAATCCCTTCTCTCTGAGTCACTCACTTAGGTCCTGCAGTGGAGGCAGGAGCACAAGACTGGGAAGGAAGAGCAGAGTGAGGAGTCGTGCCCTCTCGTCTCTGCGGTGGAAGGCAAGCACAGGTTGTGGAGATGCACAGCTCCCCATCACTGCTCCTGCATGGCTTAACCCGACTCGTCCCTAGTGATTTCTGAATTTTTTCATGATTTCTTGGATCTTTAAAAGCCAGAGTGACTCTAAGAGTTTCAGACAACTGTCTGTGACCTTCACATCTTTATTCCTTCTATTTAATAAGCAAACGACCCCAAAAATGAAGTAACTTCCTACTGGAATACTTCCTGCTAGAAATGTTTGACAGTTCCTGGCTGAACTGTCTCTGGAATTCCAATGGTCAGCTTAGCAACCTGTGTCTAAGGGGAGCAACTGCAGGAAGGTCTCTTTGGATCACGGTTTTAGAGGTCCACTCCATGGAACACTAACTCCATCGCCTTAGGTCCACGGCGGGGCATAAACCTCAGAGTAGAAGGGTATGAAGGAGGAAAGATGCTCACTTCACGGCAGGCAGGAGACAGAGAGCCAGAGAGGAAGGGCCCAGTACCAGAGAGGGACGCTCAGGTCACGTCCGTAGCCAGGGGGCCTCTCGCTTCAACCAGGCACCACGTCCCATGATCTTCATCAGCTGTGAACTCATCAGTGAATCAAGCCGTTGGGGAAGTGGATGCCCCACAAGCTCATTGCTTGGCCTTTGGGGGACATCTCAGAACCCAACCATAAAGAATATACTGACTTACGGAATACAAGCAAAAACCATGAATATGGCAGATAAGAAATGATAATTTAAAATTTCACACATAGGACAAAGAAAAATAAAGTAATGAGGTACTCAGTCTAAATACATAAACATAATCTAAGGAAGTACTCAGTTCCAAAATACAAAAATAAAAGTTTTCATCCTATGGAATAATATAGTTTTCTTAATTAGAAAAACTAACTCCATATGGCATAAACAAGTTAACGGAGTTGTTATCATCCATAATATAAACATTTATTGCATTTAATGTCTGAGAAAACAAATTCGTAAACATTTTAATTACACATTCTGCCAAATGTTAAGAAACAGGTACTAACACAGCTATTTAAATTGCACCAGAACAAAAAAGCAAAAAAGGAAAGAAAAAGGAAAAGAAAGCCTTCCAACACTGAAAGAAATAAGTTTAGTACATTTTATTACACAGAAGAAAACCACACCTCCATGGTATTTAGTGTTAATATGAAAAATATTAAATAGAGAAGAGGATCAATAGCACACGAGAAAACAAAAACAAAAACGAAATCACCAGACAATAATTCAGGGCAAGAGCGGCATCATGATTCAAAGTGTAGGTCAGTGTGAAGGCCCTGGGTTCCGACTCCACCCAGTGCTGGCCAAGCACTGGGGAGCAGGCTTTGGGGAGGAAGCTGCTGCAAACACAGGACAGCCACCCTGCCCAGGGCTCCCCCAGCATGAGGGTGTGGACTCGCTGGGTCTGGGCTGCGGCCCAAGCCTGCATTTCTAAGGATTTCCCAGAAGTGCTGCCCCCATGGGCCTGACGCCCTGTGATGCCAGAGGTGTCTCAGTTCCCTTCTGAAAGGTTTCTCACGAAGTGACCTGGAACTGGCAGGCGCTGGGGCTTACGAGGCTCACATTAGAATCTGTACAGACCCCTCGCTCGGTTCTCATGCTGCTGTTCAGCCTGCGTGTCCATAAGTGATCCACCTCTGTGTGCAAGCAGGGTTTGCCCAAAAGAAAAGGTCTTAGACTTCAGGAACCTCTGAGATACTCCTTCCAAAATGGAGCTGACACACGCAGTTTCCAAGAAAACTTTTGGGGTATGCAAGCGTTCCTTGTCTACAGTCTGTTAAAGTGTAAATAACTTTTAGATAAATTTACTTAACTATGCGGACATATAATATCCCGGACATTAAATACACAGGTGTGAAATGGCACACTAGAAATGAGGTGCTTGTGCTCACAATATGCATGTAATCTGCACCCTCAAGATCTTGGGTTCCACGCCTACCTGGACCTAAGCATTAAGGTCCAGCGCTCCTGTGTCTCTGGGACTTGCCCCGTCCTCCCCCATCCTCCCCCATCCTCCTTCGCACTGGACTGAGTCACACTGTGAGTTCCCTGGCCACGGACAGCAGACCATGGGACTTCGCAAGTTCTCAGGGTTCATATTGCTCACACGTACTCATACCTAAACCTATATCTGAAGAGGTGCACTAGATGTGTATGTATCTCTCAGTTCAGTTTCTCTAGAAAACCCTAACACCCAATATAAATAATAACAGACATAAAAGTGGATTTAAATGTTTCTCTGTTTTCAAATGTCTAATATTCTGAGAAGATAAAGGTGCAGCCACATGTGTGATGGTGCTGGATTCTCCCTGGTCTGTTTCCCCCCACCCTGGCTGTGGGTACTATGCTGTCAGAAGACCCCCGTGGGTCGGAGCAGGGTCTCCTCATCATCTGGCCTAGAGTTCATGGAGACTCAGGGTTTTTTTGTTTTTTTTTTTCTGACCAATGCACACACTGGCGTAACGATTTCTCGTCATTGCTCACGATCACTTAACATTGTCAGAAAGAAAAGTGACAGCGTCCACGAGATGCCAGAGTCCTGCTGGCCAAGGTTTTAGAGAAAATCCATATTAATAGAGAGGAGAGGGGAAGGGTGTAAGATCCAAAGGAAAAGTAAGAAATTTAGAGAGAACAATTATCAGCTGTGGAGAGAAGAGTCCCGGCCCCTGAAGGTGGTGAGCACAAAGAGCAATATGCTCTGGGACTCAGGACATCCTCCCACACATGTGAAGCCTTGGATTCAATTATTTTTCCAATCAGACAGTATTCATCAAATGCCCTCGATGGGGAGAGAATTGAGCACATTCGGTGCAAAGCACGGAGGGCCGTGGATCAGGCGGAAAAGGGCAGAAATGATGGCTAGAAGTGGCCTTTTGCATACCGCTCACGGAGAAGCCAGAGCCAGATGGTTTTGCTCTGCTTTTTTCTGGAAGGAGTAAAAGGAGGGCTCACTCGGCCTCCTACCCATGTAGAAAGTCCCACTAATTCTCTCATGGCCAGCAGAGCTACTTGCTATCCTCTCTCTGCAGCAAGGAGCCACATTTTTCCATAGAAAGCTTTTAATATCTGAGTCAGTAGCTTCCCTGGTGCCAGGATTTAAATATTTCATTGTATAAAAATATTTCATTTAAATATTTCAGTGTATAATGGCAGCAGCTAAGGTACATCCAGTGTTAACTTTTTAGATCATTACGGTTTTTGTTAATTTTTTAGTTTTCCTCTATTTTCTTCCTGCGCTCATGTCAGCTATTAAGACAGTGTGGATTCATTTTTTAAATTTTTTTTTTCATTTACAGGTTCTGAGATTATGCAAGTTTGTCTTTGTGTACTATTCTCTTTTACTTACAGTACAATCTGATGTCTTAATTATAAAACCTGGGATGTACCTAGCTGACATCATCTGTCCTCTTGGAAACTTGTCTATTTTATAAGGTATAATTTTTTTCTTTTCTCAAATAGCAAGCATCCAGTCACCACTGTACCACATAGCATGTGTTGGATCTATCTAAGATCATTTTAGTGGAACTGCCTTTATTAAATACGACAGTTTTATTAAAACTTTTATGGCATTGAGATAACGAAGCCAAGTCTTGTCACCTGATAACCTTTTGGACTTGGTCTTCCTTACCATTCGCACTGAGACTTGTAAAATTCATGTTTTCTGGGTGCACTTAAGTACATAACTGAAAGGTAAATTTCTTTCCTGTTTCCTGAGACTAGTTAGACGTAAAAATCTCACTCTGTGTCATTGTACTTTCCATGCACAATTTTATCTCTCATCACCAACATATGCAGTAATTATAGTAAATTACATTTGTGGAATCTCAAATCACAAGGCCATCCATCCTTAAGATAATCTTTCATCAGATGAGAGTGGAAGCCAATGCACCAGGTGGCTTTACTGCTGCAGGCCACACTGACACAAAGTGGAGACGGCAGCTGCGGTTAACCGGTGACACTCAGAGCCACTGTGCCCACGTTGCCCCTCTGAACATCCCAGCTGCTTTCCCGGAAAAGCCCTGGGCGGCTCCCGACCAGCCCCTGGCTGCGCCTCCCCAGCGCCCCCTCGTGGGGTGAGAAGGCACCTACCCCCTCCGCAGGAGACGGAGCACTCGGAGCGCATGATGGCCCACGTGTAGCGAGGCTGCACTGGGGGCTTCTTCTCAGCCCCGGAGCGAGGCAGCGAGAATTCCCAGGCCACACCCGGGTTCCTCCCTTGGAACAGAAGCTTGGAGAGAAGAAAGGAGAAAAACAGAGCAGTTTGCACAGAGCTCCTTAGAGCATCCATAGCACCGAGCAGAAGCCGGTGAGGGTGGTAACACACCGTCCTCTACACGCACTCGCCCGTCTACGCGGTCCCACTGGACTCCTGAACACCTACGGAGACCTCCGGACTCACATTCGGGGTTTCCTCCGTGCAGCTTCAATGCTGTGCGAGGGTGCAAGGCTTGCGGGGTCTCCCTAGGTGTTTCTGCGAGACCCCGGCACGTGCTCACTTCCCACAGCAGTTCTAAATAACCAGAAGGCCTAAGGGGGTATCACGCGAGCTCACCCCCAGGGTCATCAGCGCTCGCCCTGCTGTGCTTGGCCATAGGGCCCTTTCTGTCCCGGCAGGGACCCTTCCATCCAGGGGAAAGACACTGGGTTAGCAAAAGTCACTCAGGCCGAGGCCCCTGTGAGCAGAGACTCAGTGCCCAGAACCAGACTCGGACCCTATCCTTCCCAACTCGAAACCCAGCCTTCAGGACCAGTTACTCTCAAAATATGCCGGACCCTTGGATCTCAGTGGGAGCATACCCTATCCTGGGAACCTCACCAATAACCCACTGATCAAATTCTACACCTCAGCCGTCCTTGATAGGACGCTCACTATGAACATACTTGCCCCTGCTTTCCTACCCTGGCACCATCTTCGCTCCTGGATGACACAGGTCAGGTTTCAGCTGGAGCCGAAGTCGAGGGACAGGCACAGCCTCGCCCATGAGGTCTCCAGACCCCTCTTTCATTGAGAGCAGCTTCCTCTGAAGCTCTGCTCCTGTTCAACCCTGACCAACCTTTTTCTCTGTGATTATTCAAGCTAACGATTGTGGAAGCTGGGCAAGATATAATCAAGAAAAGAATTCAGGATGAATAAACTTGTCATGGGGGTTCAGGGGACGGCTCCAGGTCAGAAGGGAAGGACAGAGGTGGACCTGTGGAGCTTGGCCATGCTGGACCACTTGGGAAAGCATCTCCCAGCAGATCAGGATGCGCTGGGCTGCCAGTTCCAGAAGCATAGGGCCGGGGGGTTGGGGGCTGGGCAGCTGTCACCTCTGCAGCAAGGTGTAGGATGATGGGCAACCTTTGAATCAACATTTCTTAAATTGTACACAGAAATAGGAAAAGGCAAGGGTTTAGCATTTCCTCAACCTGCCACGGTAGCCTGCCCAGCCCTCAGGGATGAGTCAGGTAAGAAGCCGCCCAAATGCATTTTGTGAACCTGTGTTTTCATGTGTGAAGAGCAGAAGGGCTTGGGTCAGGATGTGACCCAGCCACAGGGCACTGGGGCAGAAGGGACTGCACGGCTGTGACTAGCAAGGGGTCAATGCTGTGACACAGGCAAGTCATCGCACAGCACAGGTGTCATTTCTGGGTGTCCATTGCGCACCTGTTGTTATGGGACAGGGCAGTACAGTGCTGGCCCCTCCCAAAATACAGACTCCCAAGAGTGGCTGCTTCTTACAGCCACTGAATTTGCAGGCAAGGAACACAGTGAATGTCAACTGGTGAAGACTCGATATGGAGACAGAGGCAAGTCCATAAACTCAAGCACGCACCAAGAAAAACAAGATGATAGAAACTAGTCCACTGCTCTCTTCAGCCTACAGATGGACTACTCTTGCTTTTGGCAACTCTATACACTTTTTTTTGCAAGCTTGCAATTAGGCCAAGAGGCACAATACCACGAAAACATGGAAGACCACCAAACCCAAGCCCCAAACTAAGAAGCCAGCCCCTACCTCCACGATGAGCGTTTCGTTAGTCGGTCCAGCAGAGGTTAAGCTCTCGGGCTCTTTGTAGGACCGTCTGTAGTCAAAGGAAGCACCTGAAAACTTGTACCATCCTGGCCAATCCACGGTCCAGTGTCCATTCAGGTAGTACCTTTTGAGGATGTTGCGCACAGAAATGTAAGAGGTAGATATGTTCGTCTCATAGATGTGAATGCTCCGGGCTCCAGAAGGAATGGTGATCATGTGATAATATTCTAGATAAAAGAAATGGTCAAAATGTGGAATTTCATTTAACTGAGCTTCTCCATAACCAAAGCTTAGGAATTCGTGTTTGGAAGAGGTGGTAGATCTACTTGGGCAGTCAGTTATGTTCAATTAAATATGACTTATTTTTATTGACTAGAGCAGAACTCTGATGATTTTCACTCTCTAATAAGCTAGCAAGCACTCCTTGCCCAAACCAAAGGCTAGAGAAACAAGGGGTTCCTACAGCAGAAAAGAGACGAAAAGGAAGATCTGCAGGTCTGAGTAGCTGATGTTTAGCCTCTTCTCTAGCTGCTCCCCCAGAGAAGCTGGAGATCAAACCATCCCAGACTGAGCCTGGCAGACAGCTCTGAAATACTCACGGTTGGTGTGGTGGTGCTTGTTATAGACACCCCTGTGAGTCATGCAGTTTGAGTTATTTCCCTTGCACACCCCACAGGAGTCCTCGGCAGCATCAGATCCAAGGATATTGTCACAGCCAACTCTCTGGAGGACCCATGAGATCACAAGTCATTCATGAAAGAAAGGACAACACATTCAATAGCATGACTGATCTCACGCAGGAGGCCTCCTCCCCACTATCACAGAAAATTTCCCCAACATGGGGTAGTGAACAAGTATTTATTGGATACCCAATATGTGCACAGTGAGACTATCATACTTTTCAGAAACCTTTAAATATGAAACACAGCCTGTGCTGCTCTCCAATGCTGTTTCCCAACTACAGCATCTGGAGGCATAAGTTAAACCTGTGGGTTGTCACATGGAGACACAGTAAATTTCACACTGACACAAGCAGCATGGTATAGTGGCAAGCACTCTATCCACACAGGGATCGCTGATGTGTCACTGTGTTCTAGCTGCCTGGGGCAATAGCACAGAAGTGGCAGTCGCCACTGGGGAGACTCTTTCTAAACTAGAAGAGGAAATGTCATAGTATTCAAGCAGCACTTTATAATTTCTATGATCCTTTTTTTATCTATTCCCCACTAAATAAAACAGGATCTATATTTAATAAAAAAGAAAAAAAATCCATTCAGAACCAAACTAACTAGCCTACAATCCTTTCCTTGAAGTTCTTGGGACCAGACTGAGATGTATAGCTTTTAGGAAGGTAAAGTATCATGCAAATCTGGTGGCTGTGAGAATCCCAACAGGACCCTGGCCACCCTGTAATTAGCACATTCATGTTTCTAGATCAAAATGTGTGTGTATTTATGCCAAGTAGGATAAAGAAAACTCTCTGATAGTCACAATCAGTTCAGGGCACATTTTGGCACCAAACAAGTTTAGGTCCCAAAACTCTTTCACAGTTATTTTGTTTTTCTTCAGCCTTTGGATTTTAGAGCTACAAATAACAGACTGTGACACTGTAGGTATATGACATTAAAGCCTTCTTGGTAGGCATCCAAAATAATAAGGTATTTAACAAATCCACAGGTAATCAGGGAACTGTGAGGATTTTGAAGTAGGAAGAGGTTTCACAGAACATCTCATGTGATCTCTGTAGGTCTAGCAGGGTCAGGCTAGGGACCTGGTGGATGGGAGGGGTCATGAGGTCACATGGAGGAAGCTAGAACTGGACTTGAGCTTTGGACTCTGCAGGACATTAGCACTGCTGACCCACTTCTGTGTGTAGGCACTAGATGTTCCCTGCTGTGAGTCTGATCTGGTAGCACCGTTACTTTATTCACCACAACATCCTCTCTGCCCCTCGTCTTCCTGAAGGGTGATGAGCTCCTCACTGCTCCCATGGACACCAATGCCTCCTCTACCTGCCTCTTTCTCCCACAGGCTCACCTCCTGTCCTGTCCTGCCTTGTGGCACTCTGGGCTGAGATATCGAGGAGGCCACTGTACAGTGACTGCTGCAAAGAGGCTCCTCGGTTTCCTGTTGTCCCCGCCTCTACTGAATGCCCAGAAAGTGCACCCTAATCCTGCAGCTCCATTGTCCCACACCCCGTGCCGGCTCTCCATGGGCACAAGGACAGGAATCTAACTCTTCCTTGGACAGTGGTGGCAGTGGCAGGACCTCAGTTCATCCCTCCCCAGTCCTGCCCACTTTCTACTATTCCTGTGACTGAATCAGCTCCTACCAGCCCAGGCTTCCAGGTACCATGCTGCTCGCTCTGCTTCCCCGGTCCCCTCTTCCAAGCCAGCCTCACAGACCTAGCTTGGATGCGCGTGCCTCCTGACCCCGAGTGCCCTCAACTGTCCCAGACCCACAGCAGCAGCTCTGGCCCACGCACTGCAGCAAGGCGATGCCATCAGCGTTGTGCCTTGAGCTTCTCCCCCTCTGCCTACGAATGCAGGGAAGGGGTCCTCTTAGGTATCAGGTCTTTCTAGCCCTAAGGGTGCCTGGCACAAAGCAGACCCCCGGGAGACATTTGTGGAATGAAGAAGTGATCATTATTACCTCACATATCCCATCTATACAAACATTACGGCTATCCTCCGAGCATGGAGTCCCATCTTTCACTTTATTTGACAAAGAAAAGAAGAAATCAAATCCTTCTGCGATACAGTAGAGTTTGCATAAGTCCTGATCTTAAAAAGAAATACACACACAAACACAAATAAGAAAGACACTTAAGCTCAGATCATTTTCGCTCTGAATTTTAGATAGATTTTCTATTTTTCCCCATAACTCCCACAAAATAATACATTGCAAAGACATTTTCAGGGGTTTCCTCCTTGCACTTGTTTTTATTATTCCTTAATGATTTGCTCTTGGTTTTTACTCTTGTGTTCCTTACTGATCTTTGCTCATTATATAATGGTTGGCACATAGTAGGCATTCAATAAATATTTGTTGGCTTCCCTACACCATTAATGCTTTACTACATTTCAGTGCTCTTTGGTGGAAAAGAAAAAGGTCACTGTAGTTTTGTAGCAATACGCAAGATTCTTACAAATAGAATGTAATAAAAAAATCAACATCATCACTAGATTTCTTCATGCCGTTGATGAAATACACACAATTTTTCAACTGGTAAATAACTTTTAGACAAAATAGCTCATACTGTGCCCCTGCTCTCTGCTTGGCCTAGGGACTTCCAGTCAAGGGCAGACAAGTGGATGCCAGGCAGTGCAGCAGGGCAGATCAAACTCACTCCCAGAGCAGGGTGTGTGACAGGGACCTCCCAGAACTAGGACAACTGGTCTACCTGAATGGTGCATTACCAATCACAATTTTTTAACAAGCAAAGAGGGTAGAGTGCAGAGCATCACTAGGAAGCAGGGCTGGAGATTTACCTTCCACCCGTGTGTACGGTTTCCACTTGTAGTGCCACCCTCGAAACTGCTTGCTGTTGTACTCGGCACACTGGGCGGTGCGGAAGTCCACACTGTCTTTGGGACACTTCTGGCTGTTACAAAGTTTCAGAGTGCGTGTGGAGCCCTCACAAAACTTCCCTCCGTGGGATGGCCTGAAATGTATGTTTTGCAGTTAGCAACCTGAGAGTGCAGCGCTACTGTGTATGTTCTGGGGGCTGACACGTACAGGGGAGATGGGACGGGGCTTCAGTTTACTAACGGGGCAGTTAAGGAAGTGCACTTGGAAGCGGGTGTTGTGTCACACATCTGTAATCTCAGAATTTGGGAGGCTGAGGAAGGAGGCTCATGAGTTTGAGGCCAGCGTGAGCTACATAGTGAGCTCAAGGCCACCTTAAACTATACATAGAAAGACTTGTGTCCAAAGAGCCAGAAACAAAAACTAACAAATAAACAAGACAAAACAGAACATGTACTTGGCAAGACTTTCCTGTGTGAACATGACACAATTTCCCTCCTGTGACAAGGCCAGGATGTCAGGACCAAGTTAGGTAGTACCTGGAGCCACCCCGGGTGAGAGCCGCTGGTGGACAGGTGGAGGCAGTGGCTACAGGGAGCACTGGGAAGAACCACTGAGGTCTCAGCCCCGGGGAATGAGAAGCCCCATCCCTGGCCCTGTAGGTGACTGACTGGAACCATCTTTTCCTCTGACTGAAGCCCAGTGGGAAACTGAGTACACTGCATGAAAAACCTTTTCCCTGAAAGGGTTGGATCTCACTCGTTCCTGTCCACCTGGGCTCTATACGCTCTTCTAGTGAGTTGGCAGAACTCTAGTATTTTAAAATATGTACAGTTAAAATCTACTTCCTGAATATCACTGGATATAGGTTGGTTATTTTTTGCAGAGGTCAAGAAGTTGCACAGGTGTGATCAAAATATATGGTGCATCTTTAAAGTTTAAGAAAAATTATTGCAGTTCCCTTCAAAATCCTCTCACTCACTTTTGACATCCTCATCCCACCATCCTGCCACTTTCAGAAGCAGTCTGGAAGTCCTCCTTCAGGGGTGCCTTTAGCTGCACTGTTGTGGCTGCCTTGATGTCTTGAACTGATCAAAAATACTTCCCTTTCATGGTCATTTAGACTTTGGGGCGGAGCCAGAGTCGCATGGTGCCGGGTCTGGTGAATAAAGTGGGTAGGGATACACGGTCATGTTTTTACCAGTCTGCTTTTCTTTCTTTGGTGGCATTTGGCCTTCACCATGGTTTTGATCACACCTTGTACATTAAAGAGATAAAACAAGCGCTGGAATCAAATGCCCCTCCTTCTTTGTGTTTCGCACAGCACGGTGTAAAGTGCAGGGCTGAAGAGAGCGTAGTGACCACAGGCACACGTACTTGGGGTTGGAGCAGAGGCGGTCCCTGTGCGACACTCCTCCCCCACAGGTCCTGGAGCAGGGGGACCAAGGGGACCAGTCCGACCACTGGCCATGGGTGGGCTCAGGGCCTTCATCCCCGTATTTCACGCACTGTCCGCCGCGGCACCACTAAACATTGAGAAAATAAACAGAAAGTCTGCGTGTGTAGTGAAAGCCTATGGGTTCATCTCGCCATTGCCGCAGTGGAGAGTTGTGCACCAGGCCCACGCTCACTCCCACCCACCAGCGGCGCCCGGTGGAAGTGCCTTCAAGTCTGCTTCTCCTGTCTTTCCAAATGTGGCATTATCCTACCAATTCACATAGCCGAGGGGTGACCCAAACATAAGGTGAACATTTTAATTTTAAAAATCCATTGTTTACTGTAATAGATTTTATTTATTTTAATTTAATTTTAATTTTTTTTTTTTT